TTCATCCCAAACACTGTCCAGCTAAGCATAACCACTAAAGGAAGGGTTTCGATAAGAAATTGGCAAACGGGGAAGGACATAATGATGGAAAAGAATAAGGGCAATTACATAATAATTGTTACATATTTTACTATCATTAAATCAAAGATTTACAACCGTCCAATTTCTGAAGAGGGGGCGGTCGGCAAAAATATGACTAAGGTAATGATATTTCGGGCAAACGAGCAATGACATTTAATTTCTTTGTTTACATAAATTTTTAATCTCCTAAACAAGTCCTAATGTCAATAAAAATGATGTTAAATATGCAAAACAATGAGGTATTTCTTTATAAAATCTGGTTCCTTTTTCAATCTATATTTACAAAATATAATTAATCATCATCAAGGACAGCTTGGTTTTTCTGATTAAAGCATATTGACAAAAAGTTAAGAATCATTAAAACTTGAAATTTAATATCATCTTGTATATGCGTATAATAATGGAAAGATACTCACATGTTCTGGTTATATAAAAAATCCATCCGTAAAATTACGCCATATCGCCTGGTAAATTGTAGGGGATTTTTCTTTTAAAAGTTCGATCTTCGCAGCTGCATCTCATTATTTTTTAAAACTAAGACAGAGAGGTTATCGTAGTTTTAAAAAACAGGAGCTAAAATAACGTACAAACCTTTGTCAATATTTCGTACACAAAGGGTCGGTGATTCCAACACTTTTTAGAGTTGAAAATTGAATACCGCTCAAGCCGATGTGCTAGGGGCGTGAGGGATGTTGCACTTTTTCATAATCCCTCATAAACAGACTCAATTAAACCGAGTCTGCAATTTTCATGTAATTTTGCTATGGTTAATGCTTCCGAAGGCTCACACTTTTTCCAGATTTTTACAATGTCCCTTCCGGACTTATTCGTTGAATAACATTTCACAATTTTCAGCTATAGTCAAGTTTAGATTTAAAAAAAGATAAATTACATGTGTTAACGTAGGAATTCGTTCACTGCATAACTACTAAGCGAACTTTCAGATACAAAATACGCCGGTTGAATGTTAAAATGCTAGTCCTGAGCATATATTGATCTCTTTTATTGTTAAACCATTCCTGATATAGTAGTATATACGTCACAATATTATTCTGTCTGGAAAAGCACAAGGGGTCGGTTATATTTAACATCAATAAATGTAATGAAAAATGTTTGATTTTGTTCTATCTATCTATGACAAGTAGTCGCTGAAAGTATTTGTTTCAAATATAGATATCACAATTCCTTAAAGATAATCAAATCTAATTAAGCAAATCAATTATCAATAGATTTCAAACAAAGTTATAAAGTCTAATGTGATCAACAATAGCTTAATACAGTAACTTCTTTGCCACTCATTGTTATGCCATGATGAAAATGCATCCTTTCCCATCCATGTAAAACAACAGCTTTTCAAGTTTTCATATGAAATGTTTTTAAAGGGTTCAATACTCATATTGTAAGACCAATATTGCCAATAAAATGCTATTTCAAATATATAAAGAGCCTCTGTCTTTGACAATTATATATCTATATCTGGGGGCCAAGAAATATTAGAGTGAAATTTCCAAATTCGCCATAATTTTCCGACGATCTATATGAAATGTACACTGTTTCCCCTGTCTTGCAATGTACATTTTATCAAGTTCTAGTTTATACAAAATTTTGCTAGATTTTGTTTTCATTCTAAACGTCAGTCTAACATTTTTATCACAGTTTTTAATGTGTCTTCCACTTTCCAAATTAGCCAATAAGCATATCATATAATTTATGGCATCAACCATCTCTTTTCAAATACATTATTGCAGCCTTGATGTTTATATATGTCCATATCCAGCTAGTAATAATTGAACTCCAAAATGCACAGTACTATTATATTGATGTTTTGTTTACAAATGCTGTTGTTTTTAAATATTTTCCTTCCGCTAACTGCATATTTTGTAGAACGGCCAGAATAACAAGTAGTTCAATATGAATTCCAATTTGCTTTCAAAGTCAACACATTTTTGGATATTCAATTAAGTATGATCCATTAGCCGAGAATTCACACATACATGTATAACGCTGTTATCCTTCTTTTTCCTTAACTACTTCTCATTTATATATAATATAGAAATTGTTTAAATACGAATACATCTTTCTATCATGAGCAGTGCATTTACATTGTTATATTTGTGAATGGATTTATGTACAAGTTACCTTTCCACAATGGAAAATATTTTCCGGAAAATGCTATGCCAAAAATACGTATTTGTAATTCAATCATTGTATGATTCCGCTTAATGAATTCACTGTTTTCGTAGTTAATATTAAATTATATAAGAATGAAAAGCATATGTCACCAAGGTTCACCGTCTTACTTCGATTTCATATTGAATTTGAACATTCAAACTAAAATCAGCAAACCGACCAAGTCACCCAAATGACACTATGGATGAAATTTTATTTCATCGGGTGAACTTTCAAAACAGTATTCTCACGAGTGTCGTAGCCACTCGTGAGATTACTGTTTTTAAAGTTCACGAGATGAAAGAAAATTACATCTTACACAACAAACAAACAAATTTTCATTTATTTTATGCTTAAAAACAAGTTAAAATGAAATTTCCTTGATATTAGATTTAGTATTAAAATCTTTTTACCCCACTGGTAGCCTCTATTATGTACATGTATTAGTCGAATTTCTCATAAAACACAAGAAGTATTGGGCTGAAAAATAAGTTCAATAATCAACGTTAAATGGCGGTGATATTATTCATTTTATTAAAAACATATGAATGATCTCTTGTTTTAATAAGAAAAACAAACAATTCAAGTAGGGAAAAAAGTCCAACCATCCATCCATATTTTGTTACTTACTGCAAACTTATATTTGACCTGGCTCTGTTAAATGAAAGCGGCCGCAATTTTTAAAAGTTGTGTATTTCACGGGAGGAAAATAATTGTGTTTGATTCAGAGGGATATCATTTGGATATGTTAGTCATGCACCTTTTTAAAAGAAAGAAAACTTATTGTAGGATTGTAACAGACAATATATAAGTGTTGACAGATGTGTAAACATTCAAAAAGCAAAAAGGAAATTGGAAACTTGGAATTGTTGAAAGGCTGCCTTACGAACGCTGGGTTGTTTACTCATTCTTCGGGCTGATTGCTGTCATTACTTTTCAAGTTTTCATAAAGCATACGGCATTATTGCTCGTAGGATACTTAAATATGCCCAAATGTCATCAAGAGCAGTTTTGTATGTGGGAGGAATGTATTTTTATTTTTCAAACTGTAAAAATGAAACAAACAAAAAATGAGACGATTTATGGTGATTGGTAATTTGGTTTAAAAAATATTTATTTTCAATAAATTGATTACATAATATGTCAGACAAGGTACACATGAATAATTACATAGATATTTAACATTAAAACAAAACTTCAATGTAAACAGAAAATTTTAAGTGTACTAAACATCTAATCTATCAGAATAGAGGAGAAAGCTAAAAACTTATACTAAGCCTCGCTTCTGACTATCGTGCTTAGCTGCCATGATGTTGTAATAATCAATATGAAATAATATTTTTGAGTTAACTACAGAGAAAAAAGATATATAAATGAAAAATAAATTGTGAGTTGATAGATTGTAATTGAAACTTAAAAGTGTCAGGGGAGTATACAGTTCAGAAATTAATATTTAACAAAGAACTTTTGAAGGAAAGAAAGAAAGAATTGTTTAAGACAGGGTTAAGGGTCAATCCATGTCTGAGTGGGATTTTTATCACTTAAACCGACCTGTGTGCGAAATGTAATTTTGTACCTGTGTGAAAATAAATGAGTAAGTGTAATTGTCCAAAGATTCATTGCCAAAAAGAAGGATATCCAAATTAACTGAATAGATTGGTGAAATATTACTGAGGAGGTCAGCTCTTTGGTTTGTGTAAATCGGACAGTGTAAGAGAAAGTGATCTGTATCCTTAACTCCGCCACAAGCACACGCTGCTGAGTCTATAATGTTTATTAAATAAAGATGTTCTTTTAGTGAGCTACAATGCATGCGAAGACGTGCGTGTTGAAAAGCTAACTCCCTATTACCTATGGTTGTGAATGGAGGGTAGTAGATCGAGGGTGTTTAGATGTGTACTTGTTCAGAGCTTGTTTGAAGGCCGATATAGACGTGCCATTTTGCATGTTAGACGGAAGTTCCAAGAAGAGATAGTTGACGGTAAGAAAGATTAAGAAAAAGCTGTGTGTTGCAATGTATGTTTTTCAAATGATCCGAGTTCCGATTGGTAATTTGGATGAATAGAATAAGGTTTTCTTCTTTTTATTACTTCTGACATTTAAGTTATTTATCAATTTCAGCTTTGCTTTTTTCTAAACAGCCTGACATTGTCAAAATTGTCAGCAAAAATAAAATTTAGGTACCACGTGGGGAAAATCTTAAAAAGTAGTTTCGTCATTGAAAAGTGTGAAATCATATTTTGATAATTTTCACTGTGAAATTATCAAATATAATTTCCACGGATAAATCAGTTATCCAATGAAAAGCATAAAATAAATAGATATATACATAGCAGCAATTGCCTGCCATGTTACGAACAATTTTGACTATAGAAACACAATTGACCAACATTGGCAGATGTCGGCTAGGTGATGCTAAATAATCATTTGAAAGCTATTCTTAAGGAGTAAGGACACTGGTAAGATATATTTTTGAAAAGTAAAAGTATCAAATCTCTATGGTTTCTTACAGAATGGTTGTTAAAAGTTTCCCCTTAAGAAGGCAATTTTGATACCAGAGGATATGTTAGCCAAATGCAGATTTGGACAATAAGAAATATAAATACTATGGTTTCGGTTGACATTTCATTTAGATGTCAGCAGTGATGGTATTATTTGTTAAAAGATTAACTTGTTATGTTTTGCATGAAAATTTATATGTAAAAATATATCTTATGATTTGGTGTACTTTACATTAAAACGGTACTTACATTTTACTCCAGAATTCCATCAATTTTATAGATAACACATTTTTGTCGGGGTCAGTCTGAAAGTAACAAATTCTTATTATATTATTCTTATCAAATTTTTATAGGATAAATAGCCATATTTCGATATTTCGTCTGCTCGTTTTCTGTTATGTTTTGTTTTTGTTTTGACGACAGAACGGGGCTAAAATAGAGAATATAAGAATCCCTAAAGAAAACCTAACACTGCAAAAATGCAAATGTTGCAGGCTCGGCTTGATTGAGCCTGTTCATGGACGGTACTTTCAAGTGCAAACTACCTTCCACGCCCGCTATCACCGGCTAAGCAGAATTCAACATGGTACAATTTTGAATTTTCAAAAAGTTCAAATTCGCAGTGCAAGTGTCGTAATTAAATTAACTATGTCTAAACACTGTTTACGATATCAGAAAAAGCCCGGGCAATCTTAACAAAATATTTTTTAGAAACTTGATGACATTAGGCTGAAAATGATTGATAGAATAAAGCTCGTGTCAGTTTCCCATCATTGCAAAACGAAATCACTTCGTTGAGAAAAGAGTCGTATTGCACAAGTGATCAAAATGAGTAAGAAAGCCTACAGCAGCGAGCTCAGTCGATGGTATGAACACGACTCGGCGAAATAAAGTGAACGACCCATATTTGTGCATTACAGCAAGTGGTATACAATATCAGGAAGATGAAAATCTCATCGAAAAATTAAAAACACCTCTGGATGTCTTAGGATATAAAGTCTTACACAATGTGAATGAATTTGGTGTTACACGATTGAACTGGCTTCCACTTATAAAGATAAACTTACGGAATACGCATGGGAAAGTCGTCGAGGCTATTATAAACGAACGCAGATAAGTTTAGTAACAAAATGGCAATTAATATGTTATTTCTCATCCATTTTTTCTCATCATTTTTTTCTCAGCTATAGAATTAATGTCATTTGTGTAACTGTATTTTCAATACGTATAAGGTCTGTTACATACGGTGGCACAAAGGTGACATGTGTGTTTTTATTTATCTGGTACGTACGAGATACCATGTCGTGGCCACGAGTTACTAAATCGTGGCCACGAGATAGCTAAGTCGTGGGAACGAGATACTTTGTCGTGGCCACGAGTTACTAAGTCGTCGCCACGAGATAGTTAAGTCGTGGGAACGAGATACTATGTCCTGGCCACGAGTTACTATGTCATGGCCACGAGATAAATATTCAATCTGATTACACCATTTATACTAGTATGATTTTTCCTAATTAACTAGACATATGCTATAGTACAAGGATGCCCCTACTTCACCTGCCTGTAAAAGTGCCATTTATACAAGTTATTGATTGGTCAATAATTTTACATTTAGCGTCATTGTGAACCTGATTTTTGATGCAATGACCTCGAAATTATTAGTTGTCATCTACTGATAAGGTGCAATGATCTTTCTGGGTTATATATACCATGGCTTATTCCTTCTAAATTATTTATCAGACAATGATTTTACTTTAAATGAAGTGTCATGGTTACCTTGACCCTTGACCTTAAACATCCTTATGGGCTATCTACTGTCCATGGGCAATGTCCCAACCAAATAAAATAAGCCAGGACTTATTCCTTCTCGTGTTATCGTATAAACAAGTTTAACAGGCCGTAGTACGTACAAACTGACCAATTCGATCACAAAATTGTCCCTACAATTGGCTATAGTCAAAATTTATGTCTGATGGGCGTTGGAATGCGACTTTCTAATATGATCCTAAAGACAAGTACAAAGTGAATGTCTTCAGTATTTTCAAAGATTAATGTTGCATGTAAAACTAACTCCACGGCCACGACATAGTATCTCGTGCCCACCACTTAATTATCTTGTCGCCACGACTAAGTAACTCGTGGCCACGACATAGTAGCTCATGTCCACGACTTAATTATCTCGTTGCAACGACTTAATTACTCGTGGCCTCGATATAGTAACTCGTGGCCGCGACATAGTATCTCGTGCGCACGAGATAAATAAAAACACACACATGTCACCTTTGTACCACCGTAGCTACAAGCTCTAAACGCAAAGTAAAATTATCTAATATCAAGATGTCTGCGCCCATCTACGGGAAAGTTCAATAGCATCACGTCTGAGTGTTTTCAATTTTTTTGAAGAAAAAACAACAACAATGTAGTTCTCCTCTCTCATGAAAGGGAATAATTACATATAATACATGATTTTTATTCGTATTGGGCCATGCACATTTCACGATTATAAATAACATACTTATTCAGTTACTTACATGCGCGTGCACATACACACGCACACACGCGCGCGCACACACACACGCACGCATACACACACAAAAGGCAGGCAGGCACGCACGCACACATTTGGGAGTTAGAAAGCAGCATAAGAAGATCACATGATAGGGCTTTAAAATCGGTCTTCAGTATATGTACGATAAAAGTGACATATAAGTGTGTTTCTATATGTTATGTCTTCAATTGAAAGACAGAAATATTGAAAAACATGAATCATCACAATCATCATTCGCATCTTCTCGGCCCTTTTCCGCCAAACTTCGGAAAAGAACCAAGAATACACCTACGCTAAGAAACTGAACATGTAAACAAATACAATGGTAGGTGTGGACTTAGTTTACCTTTAAAGTCCACTTGAATAAAGTATATTTATAGATATAAAAGTAAACAGTACATAATTTATGTTCTTATCAGTTTTGCCGAAATACATTCTTTTTTTTTTTTTGGATGTCAAATATATACATTTGTTATAAATTATATAAAGATAACACCCTCTGTTTATTGTCTCCCTCTTAAGTATCACTACTTTCAATCCGTATAAAAACACAATTATTATTATAAATAGTTGATGTATATCGATTGCGCTATATAGCCATTTAGTAGGAAACCAGCATTTTACAAATTCTAAAAATAACACTTAAGTCAAGGATTCCAATTATCAACAAGACAAGACAACAGTGGCTGAAGTTATTTCTCATCAAATGTACAACAAAAATACAACCATTTTATTTTTAAAAAATATTTTCACAAATCAAAGGTAAACATGGTATATGAAAACAGTTGATTATGATGATAAAATGTTTGAAACTTCATTTGCGCAGTAGATATATTTCTGTTTATAATAGTATATAAATAACACATAGGCTTTGAGTAAGATCAAATATTATCCCTCGGGTAGGAGTATTTTTACGAGGGATGATAGTTTTGTTGTCATGGCAAAGGTAAAAAAAGAACTGAAATTGTTATAAAATTGAATAAGATTATAATGGTCCGACTGCCTGATGATTTGTTGGCCGAAAATTTTTTGAATCGTCGTATGACAAAGAGAACAGAAGAGAAAGGACGCTTTTAGGTAAGATTACTCGCACTGATACGGATTTATTTCTAAGGCGTGCCAGAAAAATGAAATGCAACATAAAACTGTTTTATCATTTTTTCCCCAAAATATATATGATTATATTGGTCCCCCCCCCCTCCAACTCCCGTTAAGAATTTGATATGATCATTTTAATCATATATACTTATGGCGCACTTAGTAGAATTGGATCATAATCGTTATTGTATATGTAAATACATGGTCACACTACATAAAAAGGTGAAAATACCTGGGAGTAATCCGTTTTTCACCATTCCGGTGTATGGCCACATATTTTTGGGAAACCTAAGTTACAAAATACATGAAAATATTTTTGTACCGCCGAAGTAAATAATTTACTCAAATAATGCTCAATGGGGATGGTACAGGGTTTAGGCTAAATTGTGTGCATTTTACTTTGCTTTCAAGAGTGTATATTTGATTATATTTATCCGTAAATACACGTTGAATAAACTCGCTCAAACAACGTGTTTCTATGGAAGCGCATATTTCTATTTCTAGAACAGAAATCACATTATATTATCCTTCTCATACCAAACCAAAAATAGTATCACGTTCTATTAATAGAGTCCGCTCATACTTAACTAAATAAAATACTACAGTCTATAAATAAAGTCTTCTCATCGTAATATCGACAAAGGGAGTCACGTGATCTCTAGTACACTACATAGTGTTTATTTATGTATTAGCGTTTAGATAACTCCCTATAGAGTAGACATAAATATTGTGCTAAAACTTAAAAAAAATATACATAATAGTTCGTATGCACATCATAATAAATGCTTGTCTTGTGTGGTAAAATTGCTTACGATTGCATTTCTATTTTTACATATCTGAGTATTTAAGTATACATGTTTACTCTTTGTCAGGATGACAACACCTGTCGATAAGACAAAATAATATTGGTAAACTCGAACGGTTAACCTGAACGGTTGAATAATCTTAAAATATATGTAAAAACGTAACTTATAGAGGAAACATTTTGATGAAATGTATTCAGTAAACAAAATAACTTTACATACAGGGTAGAAAAGTGTTATTATGACAGTCAAAATTACTTTTAAGAAGTCATAACAAAGTTTGTAAACTGTGATTCTGTCACAATAGGGACTACGATGGGATACCAGGCCGACCACAATTGCTATCTAAAACAACCAACAACTCAGAACAGAAAATATATACAAATTTATTTACAAGAAACGAATATTTATAAATGAAAAATGATTATATATGAAAAATCACTGCGCAAACAAACACTATCAACGTATCTCAGTCTTTTTCTCCCGTAAAGTTTCTGTCATGATGTTTCAATAAAGTGGTGGCGTTGTTAAACAAAATTCGTCACAATGGCGGGCGTCTTGTATAAAATCTTATCAAGCGTAACTGTACTTCCTACAGTGTTGGCACAGTTGATAGGATCCTGAACAAGGGCATGCGTCACCCTTTAGCCATGGACATACGTGTGGAGGGCCCGTGTCATCTTCGGGTGTGTCCTCAAATAAGAAGCTACAAAGTATAAAACATGGTAAGTTCCATGATAATCAAACATAAGGGTATAATAAAGTCCCTTGGAAAAGACTCGACCTTTGTCGGTTTCCAATAAAATAACGTGCTTCTTTGAATAAACAAAATGTCCACTATAGTACACCATACATTCCGTGGAACAAAAATTCAATCACATCCGCATAATACTGCGTTGCAAATATATTCAAATATACGCCACATAATAGCCACCAATAAATAAACGTCTTCCAAAATCATGCCACTGAAGATCCTTCTAGAGATACGTTAGTTTTGATACGTTGTATTTACTTATAACAAAAACTGATGATAAATGAAATGAAGTAAGATTATAACGAAAATTAAATTGATTGAAACAAATCATTGCGATACTGCAGCATTTTACATAAAGTTACACAAATACGGTAGAACCATAATAAATTATTAATGAATAGATATATATAGATCTATAAAATATTCATGGCTCCTATACAATTACAATATAATTCAATTAACATACATCAATTAACATGTCTCGGTATAAATTTGCAATAGCGAAACACTAGAATAAAAAGAGCTTTTAAAATTTAATCTGCAAAAATTTAGAAAACAATAAATTACTGCCAAATAACTAAACCTGAATCAAATATACTATAATTCTAATAGAGAATAGTATTTACGAAATAGCAAAAATTTATGAAACAAAATCACTAGAAAATTAAATTTACCTTGTACAAGCTGTAATTTTATGACAAATATCATTTGTCTGTCACCGTCATAGTGACCTGTATAACGTCCAGTGCATTGCAATATGTCACTTAAAATTTAGTCATTATATAGCAAACTACTGTGTACTGAGCGGGAAAACGGATTGTGCAAAACATGAAAAATCGATTTGCACGAAATAAAGCTGGGACGGCGGGAAAAATAGTTATGTGAAATAAAGGCCCGTCCTTCAAATACAGACATAATACATATATCTGGTTCATAAAACAAAAATGTAACTTTCTTATTACTGAAAGGATTTTTGTGAAATAAACGGCAAAATGTTTAAATTGAGACATGGAAATTTATGCAAACCATTAAAATACTCTAAATAATAATTTCACCCGAAAATTCTAAATTGAACAAAAGATGATGCAATCTCACATCAATGAATATAGAGTAAAAATGAGGTTCGGCGTGAAAATATAATGCAAGATTTTACAAACGTACTTTCACTTTGTGACAGATTCTGAATAGAAATAATTGAAACAGATAATATTTAAATATCACAACACTATCATAATTATCTAACAAATCCCGTTCCCCCAAATAGTGGTCAACGTCTTCGTACAATCTTCCAAACCCAGACCAGTTGAGACTCGTATACTCCCGAACTAACCAATTTTACAAATCTTTCTAACCGGTGAGAGTTCGTGATTGGAATAATGTAAGAATTTCTCCCACTTTAAAAGCTTTTAAAAGTAAAGTTAACGTACACCCGTTTATTTTACAGCGGATCACGACAGGCACAGGTTTACATGCTAGGCTTCGCATGAATTGTAGCAAACTAAATCATCACTTTTTCATTTGTACTTGTGTTCAATCTCCCCATTTGTCATTTTGGAAAACTTGAAAACAACTATCACTATCTCCTCGAATGTCACTTTTATAGATGGCACCGTACATGCTTTCTCACAAAAGTGCGTCAAATCGGTCAAAATGTCTCTCTCCATACTCTCCTGTTTGGGGTTATTTCTCTTTCTCAATCTGATAATGCGGAGTTATATCTGGCCGCCTAAAAATACATAATGTATAGTGGGAGGTTTTCATCTCGATTGAATATCGCAAGTAGTGTTTCTACTATTTAATTAAAACATTGGTTCACACTTATAAAAATAATATATTATAGTTATTATACTGTCAACGTGCTTAAAAAATCATTTTTTTCCAAAACTCGAAGCGTTGGTTTTCATCTTAAACTCCCTTCTTCTCTTTTTCATTCTATGGAACAGAATTAATGCATTTATTCCATCTTGCTTTATGGTATCGGAACTTACATTATGCTTGCTTCTATACTTCTCTTATGACAAATGGAAACCTGCGTTTGCTGAATTCATCATAGCCTTATGATTACTGAATGCCACTTTCATGTATTGCAACCTTGTGTGTTCCTACTTAACCCATCAACTCACATATTTAATAATATGCTATATGTTAGATTGCATCTTTTTTCACAGGACAACGTATTATGTTTGGTGTTTAAGATAACATTCTTTTTATAACTATATGTCACATGGTAGTTGTATCTTTAATTTGCTATAAAATCTGCCACTTAATATTGTCGACATTATGTCAAAATAAACTATTCATTTTGATCAATATTGGCGAATTTGATGTGTTTTCTTTCAATATATTCACCTGATTACAATATAATGCAATAACATGATCACTGCGCATCGACAACGAAGATGACAACGATAGCGATATTATAGTCGCATGTGACAGTACGCACTAAGCAGTGGCAGTAAGCATAATGCGAGTTGCAATAATTTGTGTTCATATTATGACAGCAGGTGTCGCTTTGTCGGTACATCATCCGTTATTTTCCGGATGATCCCGTATTTTGGCACGTGGAGTAAACCAAAGTTACGTCCACTTTATATAGGGGCGTATACAGAACAGTGTTAGTTGGGGGACTGACATGTAAATTTACTGAAAACAGAGAACACGATGCGACAGACGAAAAGTGCGTGTTTTGGAAGATTCGCCAGCATGTGGAAAAAAAAGTTATATATGTCTCTAATAACTCCTCCTTCAAGTGGCAACTCACCTCTTTACAATTGTTTACACTTCTTTTGAGCGTGTGTGATAAGTGAAATTGAATTTTATCAAAACTTAAGGTGGCACAAAGGTGGCATGTGTGTGTTTTATTTATCTCGTGCGCACGAGATATCTGTGTCGTGGCCACGGGTTACTAAATCGTGGCCACGAGATATTAAGTCTAGGGAACAAGATACTATGCTGTTGCCACGAGTTTACTAAGTCGTGGCCATGAGATAATTAAGTCGTCGGGAACGTGATAACTAAGTCGTGGCCACGAGTTACTAAGTCGTGACCACGAGATAAATAAGTCGTTGGAACAAGTTACTATGGCATGCCACGAGAAGTTTAGTCGTGGCCACGAGAAATTAAGTCGTGCGAACGAGATAATTAACCAATAAAAATTACACTATTTATATGAATTTTCCTAACAAGGATGCCCCTACTTCACTTGCCCGTAAAATAGCCATTTTACAAGTTATTGATTTGGTCAAAGATTTAGCGTCATTGTGACCCTGATTTCTGACCAAAATTGCCTAAAAATTATTAGGTGTCATCTACTGATCTTTTTAGGTTATATAAACTACGGCTTATTCTTTCTAAATCATTCATCAGACAAGGATTTTACATGAAGTGTCATGCTTATCTGACCTGTGACCTTAAACATCCTATAGGATATCTACTGTCCATGGGCAATGTCCCTTCCCAATAAAATAAACCAGGACTAAGTCCCTCTCAAGTTATGGTATGAACAATGTTAACAGGCCTATTGTACGTACAAATGACCAATTCTATCTAGAATTGTCCCAACAAAGGGCTATAACTTAGTCAAAATTAATGTTTATTTTTCTTTTCCC